TTTTTTTTTTTTTTTTTTTTTTTTAATTTGGTTGTTCACAGTTCACACTATAAATATTTGGATGTGTTCAAGCTTTTTATTTTTTCTAATTCACGAGCATATATAGCCCAGATGTTTGTGCACGTGGCGTCCCTCTGTGCGTAGAAAGTGAAGCCGTGAAGGACATAATAATAATTCCGCTGTGGATAGGAATTACATCGCCTGCGCTACTAAAAAGTCAAAAAGCTGAATAGATATTTTTTTTTTTTTTTTGTACCAATGATAGTAACATTCTGTGAGTGAGCGACGCTAGTAACATCGTGTAATAATCATAGTTTGACTTTTAGAGGTGGAACGAGTAATTTGTGGCAGTTCGTAGTTAGTTATAACAAAAATAACTCATGGTCATATTTGCTTGGTTGTGCTTAGAGGTGGCCCGGGCCGAGGCCCGACCTATGGCCTGCAACCAGTCCGAACCGTCAGTTCGTTCACAGGTCGGGACGGCCCTTAAAAAAAAAATTTAATAATGTGGCCCGTTGCTCGACCCGACCCGACCCGACGGGACTAAAAAACAAAAAAATATGGAATTGGGATTGAACCGCGACCCTACTGGTTCAGTTCAACGAACCGACCTTTAGGAGGCCGGTTCAGGCCTGTTCGGTGCCAGTTCACGTGCCGGTAGGCCCGTGGACATGTCTAGTTATGGTGATATTTTTTTGAAACACTATAATATTGCATATCTCTATCATGCACTAGAGTACTCAAAGATCCTCGACCTCGGCCAAACTTCACCCACATTATAAAATTCTCATAATGATAGATGTCGGGAGTTTTTTTCTTTAAATATTTTCATTTCTATTATTTTTTTTTTATTTTCTTTAAATTGGAAAAATGATATTTGCATTTTCATTATTTTTCTTTAAATTTTTCATTTATTATTTTCAACAGTGACCACATGGGCGAATTTACATGTAGCTAGTGATAATTCCCCCCTCAAATTTTAATTTTTTTTTACTATAAATATTACAAATTTTAATTTTTCCCCTCTTTAAATTTATTTTTGCACCCTTTGATTTTTTGTTTTTAAACGTCACTCGTCAGACCAACTTATCCACAATTGTCAATTAACAATTCAACACTTCTTTTATTTTACTATTAATTTTGTATATTAATTATTATCCTTCTACAACTTTAATTGGTTCATATAAAAGACTTTAACTCTCTTTTATTGCCTAGACCACAACTAGTATTTTTTGATCGAAAATCAAACCAAATTGAATCGAACCGATGAGAAAATAAACCGAACCAAACCAACTTATGTATAACAAACACCAAAAATCGGTTACCGAAATGTTATCAGTTCGGCATCGGTTCTGAAGCATTATGTCATGTCTTTTGCCTCTTTTCAACTAATTTTCTAGTTTCGCTCCTGAGTGACCATACCGAGATCTGAATTGTTACATCAATACATATAATACACTATGTTCTTATTAAAATATACACATTATTCTTTACATAACTATTTATATATATAATATAATCAAGGGAGATGCTACAGTCCCGTTACGGCACCATTCCGTCGGGTTTGTAACCGTTAGATCATCTTGTAACCGTCGGGGATAGTTGATCTAACGGTTACAAACCCTGACGGAATAGTTCCGTAACGGGACCTTAGCATTTTCCTATAATCAAATGTGATTTATTTATTTATTTATTCCAACTCCTCAAAAACACCTTATTTTTCTTCACGAGGCCACTTCAATATAGAAAAAAAAAAAAAAAAGTTGTGGTTGTGACATTAACGTTGGGCAAAAGGTGGTGGTGGTGCAAACTCCTTCGTGTGTACATATACAAATTACCTTTTTTGCCAAATAAAATATCATCTTTCGATCAATATAGGTTGACTCAAGTGATAAGTAGTTTGATGCCGTTTAAACAATGTCTCTGGTTCGAGTCCTTGTGGATGCAGAAAATCCTTGTTGGGAAACTCACACACCACCGCCAAGTGTGCGACCTGTGTCGGTCAACGAATTAATCGAGGTATAGCTCCGGATACCGTGAGTGGCTAAAAAAAATCTCTTTGAACAAGTGCACTCAACACTATATATATGGTGGGCAGCCTCGATCAATTATGCCAAACTCGATAACCATTAAGTCATCATAATTATACGCTTGCACTATAGAAAAATCCAACACCCCATTTAATAGGAAAAAAGAAAATAAAAAATAAGTATAAAAAAAAAAAGGGCACGTACAAAGATAAATTGTTGAAAATGAGCATGACCAACATAGTTTTCAAATCCTCTTTCATTCTCCTAATTCTCTTCATCTCCATCAACTATTCTTGCGCGCATAGAGCCCACGGTGTCAACAAGCCCGACTCGTCGGAGATGTCTTCTGGGCCTAGCGGGTCGCCCGGAACTCCCACCGGAGACAGTGGCTCGGCCCATGGGCCAAATTGGGACTATAGATGGGCCTGGGGCTCGAGCCCAACATCCGGTTGGGGTTATGGGTCGGGCTCGGGTAGATCCCGTGATGGGTTCGGAAGGGGGTTTGGGTACGGGTCGGGCACGGGCTCGGGTTCCGGGTCAGGATGGGGCTACGGTTATGGTAGTGGTGGTGCTCGTGGAGAAGGCCATGGAAGCGGCTCCGGTGGGGCGGCTCCCGGCGGGAATCACCGTTGAAAAAAATGAAGGGTTTTTTTTTCATAGGGAGATGCTATGACTATATATAGTTCGTATGAAGGTTAGTTGTTTATGGCAAGATAGCATCAGATATTGATGCAATAAATATAGACTATACAGTTATGTGATGTATAATGTATGTGTGGTTCGTGTATTATAATGCCACCTACTATTGTGTGTTTAGGGGGTGATTGTTTATGAATTCATCTAGTTTTTAACTAGTTTTTTTTAACCATAGTTACTTTTTGAAAAAAGTTGATATAATTAGTTGTTAGTGAATATATTAAAATAATATTTAAAATAAAATAATTAATGTTGATATGATGTAAAAGTAAGAGAAAAATGATTGGAGGTGATAGTTAGTTAAAATTATATGAGTAGATGAATAGTGAATTAAAGTTGATGTGATATATATAAATGATTGGTGGAATGATTGATTGATATTATTTAATTATATTGATAATATTGGAGATAGTGGAGTTGAGTTAAAGTTAAGTCAAAATTGAGTTTTGATTAGTTTTTTTTCAAGTGGATTGATAAACAATCACACCCTTAATCTCTGGTCTATTGTGTTGGTCTATCCTTGTGTGTGTATGTGTCTATTTTCGCTTTCATATTAGTTCAAAATTAATAATCAGGCGAAACTGCCGGGAGTTTCTTGGCATCTGCAACCTGATTCGAGTCGGTGGAGCCAAGCTCAACCGTTAACTAGACAAACTTTAAATGAGCCCAAACTTTGCTCACTTATTAAATGACCTATCCGAAGCATTAAGGTCGAATCGAAATGAACTCACAAACTAAATTGTTTTATTAACAATTTCTCACATGTAGGGCTGTAAACGAGTCGAGCCGAGCTCGAGCTTAGGGTGTTCAAGCTCGAGCTCTTAACGAGTCGAGTCGAGCTCGGCTCGTTAAATAAATGAGCCTATAATCAAGTTCGAGCTCGAGCCTTAACGAGTCAATCTCGAGCTATAACGAGCAGATTTATAAAAATTATATAAAAATTCTATTTTCGAACCTTATCAAGCCGAGCTCGACATTAAGGCCTCGAACTCGAGCTTAGCCGAGCCAGACTCGTTTAATTTAACAGTACTAATTACATGTTAAACAAATTTCATCTATGCACCCAACACTTTTAAGTTTAACCTTGTTTTTACTTTTTATTACTCAATAGGTCCTCCCATAATGTTGGAATATCACTTGTGAGTGTCCCACATTGATTCTACAGGGAAAATGAGTCTAGTATATAAGCCTAGGGGGCTACTCCTCCCATCACCAATTGGTTTTGGGATGGAACATCACTAAGGTGCATCTAGGCTCACCCTCTTATGGTGCGCCTTCATCTGGTGAGACCGCACTCTCTTCCCCCATTTCTAATATGGTATCAGAGCGGGTCCTAGGACCTGCAATGACTCTCTCTACCCGGCCTGCTCTGGGCTTGGGCTTACGAAGGACTCACAAGTGAGGGGGCGTGTTGGAACTCTGGGCTTGGGCTTACGAAGGACTCACAAGTGAGGGGGTGTGTTGGAATATCACTTGTGAGTGTCCCACATTGATTCTACAGCAAAAATGAGTCTAGTATATAAGCCTAGGAAGCACCATCACTCAATAGTTTCGTTACGCAACTATTCTTTAATTTATTATATGCAGTGTATTTACAAGTGGACGTGTCAAGGGGCCAAACCGTGAAAGTCACGCCCCTTGTTCGTGTTGATGACATTTGGACCATGTTACTACAATTAATACATGTAATGTAAATTTGGTAGTACAATTATCAATAATGTTAAGGAGCAAATTGTTGGTTCTGTTACAGTGCCAACAATCAATGAGACAGCCCCATATGAGGATGTCCAACATTAAAACCATGTGGGACAATCTCACATGGACATGTCTTATTGGTTGTTGGCAATCAAATATTATTCACGAATTTTTGTTTCGGTATATTATTGTTAGAAAATTTTAATTTAAAAATATATACACACATTACAAATATTTTTATGTCATTTATAAAATATGACATTTCAATTTAAGCATTTATATATCTTATTGTGTCTTACTTGAATCACATATTTTGAGCATTTATAATTTGTGTTTTCTTGAGATATGTTGTTCTATATGGGACATATCACCTATCTATACTATCTTAAAAGTGCCAATGAATCTGTAAAAATTTGTTTTGCCTAAATTACCCTTATTTTGTCAAACTAATTTTGTAATAGTTATTAAATAAATATTAGTAATTTAATAATATATTAATAATAAACCAGCAGTAATCCTAAATTTTCCTGAACACAACGAAATCTGTACCCAAAAAAACTCCGAATCGCACATCCTTCTCAACGCGCCATTCAGACGGACCTGAAATCGATCGGCTCTTTTCTCCTGTGGGTGGTGAAGAAGACATCGATTAGGAAGACATTGATCGACTTTTTTTCCTGTGGCTTTTTTTTTCATCCTTCTGCCGTATGCTCACGATTCAAGTTTCAATATTTTCTCTCCGGGTCGATTTTTGTTTATGGATTTGTGATGTCTTCAATGTGGCGTCTTGATTATCGATTTTCAGACATACAGTCAACGGCCTCACGGAAATTGACCGTCCAAAGGCGCACCACGGTGGCCCTCTTCACGACTGGAAAACAGACGGGCAAAATTAGGGATTGGAGTTTCTTTTCGAGGATTTTACAGGTTCACAAAGCAGTAAGGGATAACTGAGATAAAGGCGACATTTTGGTCTGTGCTTGGAATTTCGACCGACGACGACAGAGGACCAGGCGAGTCTTTTCTTGTAGTTCTGATTATGCCTTCGTTTTCCTGTCTGTAATCTTTTCGATTTATTAACAATTGTTTACATGAGTCTTGAATAGTGATGGAGTTTTGCAATGTATAAGAGTGTTTCAATAGTGAACAAAATATTTGTGTGCTCTAGGACATGTCAGGGTTCGTTTGGACATAGGGCTTTGTGGAGTCTTTGATTTGGAAAGTTATATTGAATAGTAGAATGCTTATCTGCATTGTGTTGTGCAAGTCGAGCCAGATTTGTGGGACACTTCTGTTAGATTTAGATAGTAAATTTTGTGTTTGTTATAGAATAATTTTTCTGTTGGATTTAGATTGTAAATATATGGTTGTGTTTGCATTTGAGTTTGAATGGGGGTGGAGATCATCATGTGGGACAAGAAATCTCATGACAACTAAAGAAATTTAGCCTATTCACATTAATAAATCAGGCGTTCTTCCAAAATTTGGCATCTGTCGTCGTCGGTCGAAAATTATTCATTTGTTCTGTAAAAATAAAACAAAAATGAATCCCTAAATCATTCATTTGTGTGTTTTAATAAATAATTGGTATCTGTTGTTTTATAAGTTCAATTATCAAAGGGCATGTATGCCAAATTCTGTCTTTAAGAGATCTCCAGAATTTCCAACGGCAGCACAAGTTTGAAACTGGCGTGGATGGAAAGGTGGCTTTGCTGGTAAAAGCACATTAAGATGTTCCTCACAAAGAGTCTTATTGTAACATTTATTTGCTCCTCTACAGTAATAAAGAAAGCAAGCACAAGTACATTGACAAGTTACAATTTCTGCTAAACTAAGTTTGGAGAAAAAAAATGAGAGCACTGCAGATATTTTCAGCAAAAGGAAGGCCAGTAACATAATTCATTACTGTAAAAGTAATGAAAAATTGTGCATTAATTGAAAAATTGTCACTACATCTTAGAAAATAATTATTAACAAAAAGAGGTAACACAGACAAGCTTATGTTAAAAACAACACAAGCAATAGAAAGCAAATTTACTTACTTGGAGCCAAAAGAAAAATCTGTGAAGGATGTTCAAGGATTTCCTCGGCTTGTGTTGGGATGTTTTGAGCTTTCTCTCAATGTCTGCACTTTAGTGAAGGAGTTGAAGCATGGGGAATATAAAATTGAGACGCTTAAAAAAATAGTAATTTGCTTAGCCATTTAGGAAGGTGAAAAAGAATGATGCTTTGATGAATGAGAAATGGATTTGCATTTGGATCTACAAGAAAAGGGTTTTTGTTTGTCTGAGTTTGATCCATTCTTTGGATTGTTTAAGTTACTTGATTTAGTGAAGTTACTTGGATTGGCTGGTGTTTTGACTAAGTTATTTGCATGTTAATTTCTGTGATATATGATTTGGGGGATAATATTCTAATTTGTGTTGGTCCAAAGTATGTAGAGTTCAATTTATTAGTGTGCTGTCTGGATTATCCTATTTCATGCACTAGATTTTTGTGGAAAGAATGTGTTTTGCCGTGGATTTTGGATCTTGTCATTGTGGTTTATGCATTGGCTAACTTATTTGCTTTTATCCTTGGTATTAATGAAAATCTAATCCATAGATCTCGAAATGTAAGCATAAATTTTATGGTGTTTATCAAGTGAGAGGAGGCTTGCTTCATTTCTTTCTATTTTATTTTCATTTCTCTTGCTAATTTTAGATTTTATTTTTTTGATTTTAATCAAATTTATTGTTCTTTGGCACAAGGATTTAGTTTTTAAAGGATCTTATCAAGTTGTAGCATGAGTCGAAGATCATCCACAGTTGATTTGTCAACAGGTAATATATATATATATATATATATATACACATATTAATATGCGTTTTTTTCATCTATTATATCATATAACAATTTAACTAATAATAAAATCATATTAATTATTTATGCAAGAAATTAATAGAAAACATTTTCATCATTCTCTTCATTTTGCATGATATATATCTTTTTTTGAAAAATTTTATTCATTTGTATCACAGCGAAAGATGTATATCGACGTCGAAATGTGGCTAAGATGAAAAGGAAATACAACGATTTAGATGCTTATCAGAAGCAAGTGTATTGTGTTAAAAAAAATAAACATCGCAAGGGCCAAAATATGGGTGTTGCATGTCTTCATACCGATGAAGTTTCATCTGGACCTAAAGGTTAGAAATATTCAATCCTCTACTAAAAAATATATACATATTTTGCTAGATCTAAATGAGTACTGTATGTTTCTTTTATACTTCTAATATTTGTTGTTTTTGTTGTTTCTATAATATTTGTCATTATGTTTGATTCGCCCATAAATATAATTATTAAAATTCCCTGTACTTAATGTGATTTACTAGAGATGTATTATTAATACTCTATTATTATTGTACATAAAAAAAATAAATTAGGCATTTCATTCATTTATCTGATTTAATAAACAATTGGAATTTGTCATTTTTTAGGTTCAATTATCACAGGCAATGTATGAAAGCTCGCCCTCGAGCCCTGGGCCGGTCGGCCGGGTCTTTCCCTGTTGTTCTGTTCCCGCCACGAGAAGCGCGCAAGAGGTATGCCCAGCGCGCCGAGGGATCCGATAACAGCGATACATGAGTTGGAAAAAATGCCCGATTGCATACATTGCGGTGCAATGAAATTTTAGTACGAGTGTCCAACATTTTGTTGTGATAATGGAAAAGTCAAACTTGCTCCTATTGAAGTGCCTGATGAACTATATGAATTGTTCACTTCACAGACGGAAGAGGGAAAACAGTTTCGAATAAACATTCGTCTATTTAACAGTATGTTCTCTTTTACATCATTAGGGGTCAAATTAGATAAAGAACTTGCATCTGCAAGACAAGGAGTCTATACTTTTCGAGCTCAGGGAGTAGTGTATCATGATCTTCCTAGCTTATTGCCTAAAGAAGATGGCCCTGGATATTTTCAGTTGTACTTTGTGGAAACAGAACGAGAGGTCGAGAATAGGATGTGCATATTTCCAAACTCCTCTTTATCTAAATCTACGGTTAACAGACTCATTAAAGTTTTAGATGTAAACCCATATGCAAAAGTTTTTAGAAGATTGAAGGACTATCCATCAATGGATGAAGTTCGACTGCATATCTCAAAGGATGCAAAATTAGACCAGCGCGTGTATAATGGTCCGACAACTGATCAAGTCGCAACATATGGGTTGGAGGAAATAATGTTAATATTCCCTTTGAACGTGACATTGTCATTCATGCACATTCAGGTGCTAGACATAGAATAAAGCATTATTTTGGATGTTATGATCCACTGCAATATCCCCTCCTTTTTCCAAGAGGTGATGGTGGTTGGCATCAAAAAAATTTCAAGTTAGCTTCTGATGGAAATTCTACGCAGAAAGAAGGTACAATATTATTTTTTTTTTATGTTTAGTGCTTTGTATTTTATATATTAATATGACATTTTATTTTGTTTTTATTTTTGCCGAAACAATTGCAACATTACAACCTATCAATGATGTTGATGTGAAAGAGAGTTTGTCAAAATCTCCCAAATCCTTAAGTCGTCTGCCAAAGAATCAAGAGGCGTCACAAAAAAAGCAAGTTCAAAGAAGAAAATGCGTCGCTGACAAGATGAAGGAAGACACCGATGATAGTGTCATTGAAATCGACGATAATGAAACAATCAGCAGTCTTAAAAAGAAATGTGTGCAGAAAAATTCGAAAGGAAAGGAAAAGAAGGCATCCTCTCCGATCATCACCATAAAGAAAGAGAAGAGTTGAAGATCATAGTTACTTATCTTTATTATTTAAATTTAAGAACATTATTTAGTTACTTTGTTTGAATTTAAGAACAATCTTTTGTTAGTTACTTTGTTTAAATTTAGGAACAATCTTTTGTTACGTATTTTTTTGCAGTATTTTATATACTTTACATTTTTAAAATTACATCTACTAAGACATTTTATCTTGGAACATTACTATTTTATCCCGATAAATTCATACTTCACATAAAAATTGAGATTAACAAAACTTAATAACTTGAAACAAACAACTCCACATTAAAACTTAATTAGCAAAATAATATATTCACCACGTGCAACGCACGTGATCTTTACTAGTAGAATTAAAAGGCTCACATGGAAACTCACATGGTTTGAGGCAAAAAGCTCTCACACGGAATCACATATTATGCCATATGTGTAATTTGATTTATGGGATATAAACTTGCTTAATAAATAAATGTTTTTTTAGATTGTATTGTCTTTTT